GAGGGCCTCGGCGCTGAGAGGGCTCCTGAGTTAACGGGCGGGCGGGAGTGCCGTGGGTCCTGGGAAGCGCAGGCTCTGACCGGTCCCTCCCCGCTGCCCCCTAGAGGCAGCCCTGACGCTCTGACCCGTCCGCCTGGGTCCACCGGCCCACGGAGGAGCTGGCTTTCGCCTCTCCTGGGAGAATCGGATCCCGGTGAAGGAGGTAACTTGGGTGTGACCCTGGGCGGGGCCGTCAGTCAGCTTGCTCAGGGAGGGGGGAGCTGGAGGTGCTGCTCTCCCCTCACACTTCTCAGTGGAGGAAAATTAATCATTTGCGAGGTGAGCAGGACGGGGTTGCCCTTTGCTCCCCCAGGTGTGCAGGCTCAGGGGAGGGGCAGTCAGCACTGTTGGGTCCCACCCTGTAGCCAAGTCACCTGGTAAAGCACCTGCCTTCCCTCAAAGGACATCCCCAGCCCCTTGCTTAGCCTGCTGGGTCTCTGGCTTGGTGGGGTGGCCGGTGGTGGGGCGGCCGCTCTGTCTTATTAGGAGGGACAAGGCTCCACGGCCCAGGGGAGGGGTCTGTGTCCAGGTGAAGTGCACCCTGTGCCCTGCACCTTCCTGAGCCCTCGGTCCACTCTGCCCCCAGCCCCACCAGGAACTGAGGCAATGGCCTCAAAGCCTGAGAAGCGAGTCGCCTCATCCGTCTTCATCACCCTGGCACCCCCACGTCGGGGCGAGGCTGTCGCCGAGGAAGTGAGGCGGGTGGCCTGTGAGGCCTGGCCTGGCCGCCCCTGGGAATCTCCTGCCCCCACGAAGGCACCTGGAGCTGGTCCGGCGGGGAGGCCCAGTCCCTGGACACCCTCCTCGAGAGCTGCAGCCACAGGGCCAGCTGGCCCCTCTCAGCTGTCCAATGGAGGTAAGAGGGTGAGGACGGGGCAGGAGACCGGGTCAGAGGCACACTGAGGTGGGGGGGGGAGGCTCTGAGATCATTCATTGGTTCATTCATCCATCGAGCACCTACAATGTGCCAGGCAGACTCTGGAACCCATCTGCGTGGGTTTGAATCCTGGCTTCTCCACTTCTTGAGATGTGATGTTGGCAAGCCACTTAATCTCTCTGCCTCAGTTTCCCAATCTGTAAAATAAGGATGGTAGTACCTTTGCCGAAGGGTTGCTGTGAGGATGAGATGAGTTAATATATATGTTTAGCCCAGCACCTGTCACATAGAAAGTGTTAAATATGTCACCTGCTGTTGTTATTCTGGGTCAGACACTGGGGACATGAACACAGAGATGTTTTCAGCCTGTTTGAAATGTACGTCCTCGTGGGGGAAACAGAGATAATAAAATATAGAATAAAATGTCGGGAAGACGCAGGTGCTGTAAAGGAGTCGAGCACGGGGAAGAGGTGAGGAGGTGCAGGCTTTTATGGGGCGGTCAGAATGGCATCTCCAAGGAGGTGTGTTCAGCTAAGACCTGAATGACGGGGTGGGGCTGGTGGGGGTGGGGGTGGCTTGGAGGACTGTGGGAATGGCAAGTGCAAAGGCCCTGAGGCAGGAACGAATTTAGCAGGTAGAAGGACCCGAACAGCGAAGCTGTTCTCTCTGGGGCTCTGCTGTTCTCTCGCCGTGTGTTCTTAGGCTGTTTTCTCGCTTAGTGTCCTCTGGCAAATGAAAATGTGGTCGTGTGTGTGATGCATCCATTGCAGAACGGATGTTTCAGAAATGACTGCTCTTTCACCTTGCACNACTTAGTGTCCTCTGGCAAATGAAAATGTGGTCGTGTGTGATGCATCCATTGCAGAACGGATGTTTCAGAAATGACTGTTCTTTCACCTTGCACTGGGTCTGAGCTGGCCCTGCTGCCTTGCTGGCAAGAGCCCTACAACCCCCTATCGCTGCGACTTCCACGGGAAGTCTCAGCTGTTGGGCAGCAGCAGTGACCGAGGACAAGCCAGGGACCCNGAGCCTTACAACCCCCTATCGCTGCGACTTCCACGGGAAGTCTCAGCTGTTGGGCAGCAGCAGTGACCGAGGACAAGCCAGGGACCCGAAGCAGCGGACAGCTCACTGTCAGGGCACCGGCTGGAACAAGGAGGCACCGAGGCGCCAAGGGTGAGAGGCCCCTCAGGATGGCAGCCGAGCCCCTCAGAATCCCTGAGGGGCCTGGTCGGGTATCCTGCTGGCCGAGGGCAGCCCTGTGTGGCATCACCATGGAAACCACCTAGAGACTAACAGGAAATGCCAGTTAGCGGAGACCAGGAAGGGCGGGGGAAGGGGCCCCACGCGCGTACACAAGGGAGCGCGTGGACATTCACACAGCGTGAGTCTCCGTTATGACGCAACTGCCCACATTGATCTTTCCGCCCTAACGGCACGTCCTAAACCACACCTTGTCCAGCTGCTTTTCCAAGTAGCAGAGCCGGGACCTTGGTGACTCAGGTTCACACGTCAGGATGCGCGGTCCAGTGGGAAAAATGCATGTCCCTTGCCTGGCCAGTGTGACCAGTGGTTGAGCGTCAACCCGTGAACCAAGAGGCCACCGGTTCAATTCCCGGTCAGGGCATGTGCCCAGGTTGCAGGTTCGATCCCCAGTAGGGGGCATATTGGAGGCAGCCGATCAATGACTCTCTCATCAATGTTTCTCTCTCCCTCTCTGTCTAAAAATCAATAAAAAAAGTATTCCCTTCTGGGTAGGAGAGGAAGATCATTAAATGTCATTTAGATGCCAAATTTTCCTGGACATTTCCCTGGGTTACAGGGGTTATAGGCCGAAGATCAGGGAGTGTGATAAAGCCCGACCTTCCCCGAGACAGGTGGCTTCACAGTGACTGCTCAGCCATCTCTTTGCCGGGTGGGTGAACGTGGGGTTCAGCCTCACTGGAGCGAGGTCAGTTCTGTGAGCAGCTTGGTCCTGAGTCCCATCTGACTACAGAACACAAAAGTGGACCCTGGGGCCCTGCCAGCTGCCTAAAGCCACCCCTACAGCGGGCTGTCACCTGATGCCTCTGCTGGCACTGTCCCCTCGGGAATCCACCCACAGTTCTTCAGCCCTTCATCCTGGCACCGGTCCCCACCTTTCCCGCACTCCTCCCCCTCCCGGCGCTAGACACTCACCCGGCCCCGCTGATCCCTTGTTCATAAGTCAGTTTTCCTCTTGGCTGCTCCCCCCTCCTGCCCTCGGCCCCCTTTCCACACTCCTGCCCCTGCTCTGAGCCCCTCTCCTGAATTCCCGCTCCGGCCGGCACCTCCCGCCCTCCCCGGCCTGTTGTCTAGAACCTGAGGCAGGTCCCGGGAGAGGCCTCAGCGTTCCTGCTGTGTCTCCTGATCCGGCTCCTGACTCACGCCGGCTCCTCCGGACTGTGGTTCTCACCCTTTGGCGACATCAGCACTCCCGGGGGCCTGTTCAAACACAGCTGGCCTCACCCTGGGTGTTTCTGATTCAGCAGGGCTGCGATGGGGCCCAAGAATTTACATTTCCTACGTGTTTCCAGGTAACGTGGATGCTGTGGCCTGGGGGCCACACTTTGAGAACTATTTAGTCCACAGGCGTGAAGCAGGTGGGACTTCTCACAGGGCAGCCCTTGAGACAGTGGTGTGGGGAGACTTTCAGAAGATGTCAGTTCTGGGAACTTCCCCCTAAGCTGCTGGTCAGGAGCCCCCTGCCTCTGAACAAGTCCCCAGGTGAGACCGTGGTGCTGTGCTCCCAGGGCTGGGACAAGCTCCCTATTTGTGCAGCACCCCCAGCCCTGGGACAAAAGAGAGAGAGCATTGTCCACATCGAACGGACGAGAAACCTGAATCCCAGAGAGGTGCCCCAGTGAGTTAGCAGAGAATGGGACAGGAGCCCAGGTCTTTGCAGGGCAGGGCCCTGGGCGCTTTCCGTCCGTTTCCGTGAGTGTCTCGGGCAGGGCTCAGGTCTGCCCGACCTCACTGGAGCTGGCCTGCCTTGTGCCTGGGTCACAGGAGGTGGGCGGAGTGCCTCCGGGTCCTTTCTCAAAGACATTATTTATTTTAGAGAGAGGAAGGTGGAGGGAAGGAGAGAGAGAGAGAGAGAGAGAGGGAGGGAAACATCGATTGGTTGACTCTACAACCCAACTGGGGATAGAACCTGTAGCCTGGGTATGTGCCCTGACCCGGGATTGAACTCGCCACCTTTTGGTGTACCTTCTGGTGTACAGGAGGACATGCCACCCCGCCAGGGCCCGGGGCACTATTCATAGTGCTCACCCTGTAGGTGCAGGGACAGGACTTTCATGGGCATGCTCAACAGCCCCACATTACTGCTTCTCTCCTGCCCCCCAGGCCCCTCTCCGGGCAGCAGGGAGGAGGGGGTTGCTGGATGGGAGGGGCCTGGGGCTGAGGCAGGAGCTCGGTGACCCGCCAGCCCACCTCCTCCCTCCCTGCCAGGAGCTCGGGAAAGGCTGTGGGCAAGGACTGGCAGAAAGACCTGATGTCACTCCTGTCCTGCGTATGTATGTTTGCTGTTGGACTGGGGTGTGTGTGTGTGTGTGTGTGTGTGTGTGTGTGTGTGTGTGTGTGTGTTTAATGAGACTTTCAAACATACACAGAAGTAGAGAGAACAGTACAAGGAACCAGGTGCGCTCTACGCCCAGTTTCAACAGTTACTAAGGCCTTGCCACATTTGTTACATTGTTACATGAATCCCTTTCTCCTTCCCCTCCCCCCTTCCCCTCTTCTCCCCTCCCCTCCCCTGAAGTATTTTCAAGGAAATGCCAGTAGCCAGCTCATTTCAGGCCCCGTTCTTGAGGGTGCATCTCTAAATATGGTCTCTCTCTCTCTCGCTTTTTTAAACATAACCACAAAGCCAAACAAAATCAACAAGAATGCCTTCTGACTATCTAGTACGCAATCCCTAATGAATTTACGCCNCAACAAGAATGCCTTCTGATTATCTAGTACGCAATCCCTAATGAATTTACGCCGAATTGTCATAAAAATGCCCTATAACTGTTGGATCGTAGTGGAATGAATGGGTCACGCTATGTCTTGCCTTTCTCTAGAGCTGTGTATAGATCACCCAGTAGGATTTTTAGCGCTGTGAGAATTAAATGAGATGATTCATGCTTCGAATCAGGATCCAATACGGTCGGCACCAGCGCTGTCCAGTCAGCACGTATCGTGAGGCCCACATGCAAGCCTCGTGTGAAGCTTAATAATTTCTAGGATCCACACTGAAAAACGTAAAAGGAATTAAGTGACACTACTTTTCGTAGTACATGTTCTGCAACCCAGTATATAAAACGGTCATTTCAGCATGTGGCTATTATAAATGTGGCGATGAGGCATTTTACGTTCCTCTCTCCGTCCCGAGTCTTCCCACCGTCTCTGGGCTTTTCGGGCGCTCCATAGCCACCTGGTGGCAACTGCATAGGACAACCGGACAAATACAAACATTATATGTGGTCGTTTTTCCCAAAGCCTCTTAATCCCGAAGAAGCCCCTCCCTTTTCTCTCCCCACCACTGACTTGCCGGGACCATGCTGATGGTCTCTTGGCCTCTTTGTGGTCTCAGCCAACGGGCTCCTGGCTCCGTCCGTGCTTATTGCGGGTGGGGGTGAAGCCTAGAGCCCCCCGGGGTTGTTCGGTTTTGGTTTACGTTTCGCTCGTTTCGCTGAGAGCACTCGGAGGCGCTCACCACAGCGAGATGTGAGCCCGAAGACCCCCCAGGTCCACTGAGGTAGACGGTAGCTGCAGGCGGTGGCCCCTGACCCCTCCTTTGGAGAGGTCTACACCCACCTGCCCGACAGTCCTTACCTGTAATGAGGTGGTGGCTCCCACGCCTGCACCTCCTGGGGGGCTTCGTAAAGTCTGGGCGGCACCCCGGGGCTTCTGATTCTGCGGGTCTGGGGCAGGCCTGGGTGCTGCAGGCCCAGGAGCCGCACAGAACCACAACCTCAGGTTTGGTTTTGCTCGTATCCCCCCCAGGGCCTTCTAGCGGGATTCCTGGCCCGCTAGCGCCCAGATTGTGGGGGGCGGGAGGCGGCTTTGACAGCTGCTGTTTTCTGACCTGTGCCAAGTGCCACCCACTGTGCTGAGCCCTTATCTGCATCATCTCAGAATTTTCACAACCATCAAGGCAGCTGATACCATCTTCCAGCTGCGCAAACTGAGACTCAGAGACCAAGCCACTTGCCTGAGGACACATCAGATGGCGTCAGGGGCAGAGTCTGTGCCGGGCCCCAGGCCTGGGTGACTGGACCTGAGCCCGTGGCCACCAGGCTGTGCAGTGTCCCCTTCCGTTGCAGGAGGCTCCCATTCTCACGGTACCCTGGACGGCGCGGACACCCTCCCAGACCTGGACCTCCTCCCGCCTCCACCGCCCCCACCCGCGTACCCGCCTCCGCCCGATGAGGA